GCTCAAAATGTTCTGGATTACGGTAGACCTGGAATGAGCTCGATGGTACTCGCGAAAACTTCCGTCTTTCTTGGGTTGACTTTCAGTGAACGCACTTCGCTAACCACAGGCACTTCGGGTAGGGGAATCTAAAAGCACTTACGGTATCCACCACGAGTTCCTTCAATGCGGCGCCGCTGTCGACTTCGTCGTGGGCATAGAAGTAGCAAAAGTCGGTAACCAGTTGAGCTCGTCCAACGGCTGAGAACTGCTCAGGATGCTCGTCCAGTTGACTAAGTAGGAAAGAATACAGTACTCACTTCAGACCTCTAGGTTGAAGGCAGCAACACGACGGCCGGAGGGAGGAGCGATTTGTTGACATTATTGAGCGTGACTGGTGGAAGGTAGTTGCTTGGTGGATCTAATCAAAACCCGCAGCGCACTGAGGGACCTATTCAACGACGTTAGTGGCGTCAACAAAACCGCTCCAACCTCCAGCTATGGTGTTCTCTGCCTTTAAATCCTTCGCTTTTTCAGGGTATGGCAAAAAATCCTCTGTTAAAGAAAGGTCGCTCAGAAGTGAGCCGAAAGCCATACCTGAATATATTGACCCAGGTCGTCGAATCGTAGTTCACCCTCATAAAAGACGTGAAATTGACGTTGACGAGCGTGTTCGGGCTCTTCGGGGGCAGAGTGAGGGTCTGTGCGAAAAGGAATGGTGGTAGTGACTGTGTGGAAGTGATCCTAAGCGGCCACGGGAATCGTTCCAGTTGATGCAGCTCAAAGCCGAGTGAAGCACTTGATACTTTTAGTGATGGGAAGCCGCCGTTTGTAAACCAGAACTCGTAAACCTGAAAAATTAGATGGCATTATTGCCTGTAACGGTCTACTTTCTGCAAATCCTTCGAAAAAAAAGTGGAAAATAATTGTAAAATTGAGGATGAATTCTACTTTCTTTCTGTCAAAGAATTCTTTACCAATATTCAGTTTGTAGAAACTGCCAGAGTACGAAGTTTTGCTTGCCTAGGGTCAATTCTACTGAGGAAAAGTTCCGTTATCAGGTCGCAGATCAAGTTCGACTAATGTGGGCGGGGCTAGAATTTGCTTTGCATAGAGCCTGCGGTAGCTCGTCGATGATAAGGCAAGATCTTGCAGAGAACCCTTGTTTCCCATGCTATTCTGCTCGCTAAAGTAATTTTGTTCAGCCAAAAGCTGTTCATAAGTCCACTTGAGGAAATTCAAACACCCAGTCAATTTTGTAATTTCTGAGGCTTATTTTTTGAAGAGATGGGTGAAATTGTCCGTTGGGTTGATGATAAACGTATCTCATTCTCATTATGGAAAAGGCAGGATACGCCATGCATACGACAGCTTTTAATATCGTGAAATAAGTGATTACCTGCGCGAGTGAGATGTTTCGATCGACGGGTATGTCTTCGAAATAAAACAAGAATGTCTTCAGATCGAACGTTGCTTTGGTGGCGACGAGATTTCGAATGACGGCCAGCATGTACTCCTCACCAACAACGCTTTCGAGACTTTCAAGCAGTACAACTCCTTTCAGATAGCAGTGTGAAGAGATCTGTAAACGCTCACTTAGTGCTTCCTTTATTAGAAGGACTGTGACCCGATAATGAGGAAAAAATCGAAACAATTGTTTGAAAAAAAAACCCTGAATAAAGCTCGGGTTGTCAAAGTTGTTCTGACGCGTTGTGCAACTTACGACGCGTAAGAGAACGCGTCCGAGAAAAGGGACTTTGACGACAGGGAGCGAAAAAGAATGGGAATCAGAGAGAACAGCCAAAGCCGGAAGTTAGGTGTTGGACGACTAGCGATAACCTTGGATCCAACTTTAACGTGTACAGGGGGCGTTTTCCCCCCCCCCCCCCCACCCCCCCCCCCCCCCCCCCCCTAAGCCGTACGCCATCTTGGTCCCCATTCTCATTCATCTCGTCGTCGTCAAAGTCAGCGACATTTCGTGAACACGTAATTCATTTGTGTCGTCAAAATGGAACTCAATCAATCCTCTGTTCACTTAGCTTTCAACGTTCTATTAGGCTATTTGTCAGACAACATTTGTCTGTAAAACTTGTACTGACTGTAAGGTTGGAAGCTCGTTGTTATTAATGGTATCAAATAGATTGATATCTAGCATATGAGCTTCTCGAAGAAAATGCGACCCACTCAGTTTGGATTCCTAGCCAATGTCGAAAGCACTAGTGATGGCAGGTATGGTGCTGAGGTCCAATCCTCTCCCGCCGTCCCTCCCCCTCTTCTCCTCGTTCAAGAGGATATATGAATCAGCGCTTAACCTTGCACATAAATAAAACTTACAAGCCTTTGCTTAGTCAGTACAACTTCAAAAAGTGGAGTTGTACCGACTAAGCAATGGCAAGCAAGCTTCAAGCGAAGGCTATTGGAGTGGTTTTCCATTGAAAATCTACTTGAATGTTTCATGTGTTCATAAGAATGTTGTGCCCCTCGTTGTATAATGCAGAACGTTTTTTTTTTTGTATTATGTTGGGCGGAAGTGGTGTAGTGGCAAGTGGCACGCTTACCACGCGAGCGGTCCGGGGATCAAATCCTGGGTCGTGAGTCGCCCGGGCCAACCAAGCCTTCCATCCCTCCGGGGTCGGTTAATTGGTACCAGACTTGTCTGGGAGGATAAAAACACTGACTTGTACATCGGCTGGCCCCCGCAAGTCATTGTATAGGCCACATCGCATTCGCCACTACGAATGTACAAATGGAAGTAGAATGCGTGCCGCATCCCAAAAAGGGATTGATCAACGGCAAATGCTTTATCCTTTTATCCTTTTTATATCAATGCAAATGAATAGAGAAAGAAGAGCGGTAGAAAAGTGCATGGGTTGACTCAATACTGGACTGAGCAAAATTGGCCCCGTTCCTGATGGCGGGGTATAGTATTATATTAATACACATGCATGTAAGGCTCTTGCCCACGAATACGAAAATATTAGTGGGAAATGGGCCAGGAAGAAGTAAAAGAATCCATAAAGCGCTCAGATTAAGGGACTTACTCATTCGTTATCCGTGCTAGCAGTGAGAGACTAAGCGTGGAGAGGAGAGTGTTTGGCGAGAGAGCTATCAAGAATGAGAGGGCGCCAGACAACAGCCTGCTGCAGAAGCCTGCAGCTGCTGCAGCTAACTTTGCGATACCCAAGTGCCCTTGTCAGGTGAGGTACATGCACGGAAGTGCCACAGCTGTGATTGTCTTCAAGTGGTCTATCCTGCACCACACGACTTCTGCCTGGGCTGGGCCTTTGAATACTGAGGGGAGGGAGAGCGAATACTCACTGCATCCTTTGACTCTGATGAACACCTTATGGGACAGTCAGGGAGAAAAATTCTGGGGGAGGGGGGGGGGCGCAGAAGCAGTCAGCTACGTACTAAAGCTTACTAGTACTTCGTAAGCAATTAAGTCATCTGAAAGCATCACCAGAGGGTGAAAATACGATTTGATTGGCCATAGTCACTGTTAGAATGCGCTATGATCCTGCTAGTAGCTTGTAGGGCCCTGAAGACATTTCAGTCCAATAACTAGTTTTGGCGAACACTCGATGCTCGTTACAGTGTTACCGTCCCTCTAGGTACTGAGTTTGGTGTCAAGCAGCGGACTCCGTTGTGATTACGTTCTTGTAATCCAAATTAGATCCAATTTTGTAGCGTTGCTGCGTGATTACCGCCATTGCTATTTTAACCGGGAGTAAACAGTAAACGAACAGACGAACAGGAAGTGAGTAAACGCCTTGGCATGGTTGTAAACAGCCTTGTTGCTACATTGTTTTCATGTCTGTCAAACTGATAAACACTCAGCTGTCTGCAAAACAACTGCATCATATAGCCGATTGCGCAACAGAAGAGCCAAGATTGGCTCATAGCGTCCACCTCAACTCTGCGTCTCCACCAGACGCGTTTATGGGATATGGGACATCAGCTGGCTCTACGCTGTTGACAAATACAGATGCGAAAGCCAACGTTTTGTCTAGCCCATCGATCATCCCAGCACCAGCAACAACTTAAACAGGAGTTGTGGGCATGGCGGTTCGAGGATATGAGATTGAATTCGTTAGTTATTCGTAGAGACTAAAGGTTGCATTCCCTTGCCAAATAACTGGGAAACCCGATTTGATCAGGGACATGCCCCAACAAATTGCGCTTCTACAACAATTCAGGAGGTGGAAATGGTTGTAATGTACAAGGGCGCTGCCTTACCATGTTTCAATTTCCATGGTTTAGATCCCTCGGTGCCAACCGAAACCCCCTAGCCATCAAAGCTCCAGGTAACTTAGTGGCACTCAAACTTCCTGGATGGCTGAAGTACATATTTGTTTCATTGTTGTCTCCAAAGTCATTGTATTTCTGGATGCGTCATATTCGCATTCAAATGCCACTACAATCCTGAACGGCAGCTGAATGCGTGACGCATTCCACGAGGAAGTTGGCCATAACCGTTTGTTGTTAACGCTTTAATAATCCGCTAACTGCTTTTCGTTAACAATATAGTTCTGAGTTTTTATGCGCGGGATTTAGATTGGAGCCCCCCCCCCGAAAAGCGCCTCGAGATAGACTCTCCATATGGAATCCCAAAAGGAAAAGGGTTAAGACAGGGTTCTTTGATTTTTTTTTAGTGCAAGAGTTCATTGCAGGCTGCTTAGCCTTTTTGGGGACAAAACAGCCTTCTTGACTCTGTTGAGATATGGTACCATACAGTGCCTTTTCTCGCATGCAAACTCTTAATCGCTAAAATCTGTTCGTGAGCTTCGCAAAGAGCGGTTCTGGGCATTAATATTGGTTAGAGATGCATTCAGCTCAGGATATTGAGGTTTGAGCAGGTGGCACTGAAAGCGTAAGGAAAGCAACCCGAACCGGACTCACGTCCGCCGAGACTCCCTATTTCAGCGCGTTCCCCGTGGGATAGTAAGGCGTTTTGAATGTTTCACGAGCCACTTGTTGAATCCAGTTCTAATGATCTTGGGTTTGCTAATACTTTGGGACGCTATGCAAGAGCGGCAACCGACAGCGGAGGGAGGGTGGGCTTGCGGACGAAGGTGTGAGTTGCGGGTCGGACGAGCTCCTTGCGCCTTCTCGCGCACTTTCAAGTCGCAAAAGGGGCGCGACGTCAACGCTTTCCGCCTGTCTACTACCCCCGGGACGGTACAGGTGAGCGTGCCTTTAAGACAGGAGTCACGGTCAGATCCCTAGAAAAATTCTGTGTTAGAGCGAGACAGTAGGGCCTCTCACCCAGAGATGGTGGTGCTGTCACGAATTGAAACTGCACAACAAGGGAGCTAATGACTTCTTTCGACCTGCAGTGACCTATACCACCCATATCAATCGCGGCATACGCGGCGTCCTCTCGCGTACGACGTGCTATCTCGTGTTTTCCCTCTCCTCGCAGTGCTATGTCTCTCCGTCATACACGGTCGGCTTCATAAGAGAAATTTAGGTGTTTTCATGGTGTTTTTATTTTATTTTTCTCCCCCAGGAAGTAACTCGTCGCAATTCTTGTCCTTGTTCCCAACAAAATGACAGTTCTGTTCGATCCCGACCTGTACCTTTAAGTTCTCAAGAGAGTTCTGGAAAAAACGAGGCTCAAATCAAAGTCTTACAATTCTCAGGTGGTCCCATAGATTAATAGCGCTTCCACTTGATAATTTGTTTCTAACCTGGGTACCTCTAATCTTTCAAATTCTAGGGAACACCTTCACAGTTTGGAGCCCTGTACTAATGTGAAATGGCTTAGAAGTGTCTGCCGCTGTCTTCATTGGAATGGCTTCTTCCACATGCTGGCACAAGCACAACTTATCCATCAACAAATTTACTATTTTTCGGTCATTTCTTATACCCCAGACTTTCCCAACCCCTCCAGGTAGGACTCCCATGATTGATCAGAGTACGATTTGCTAGCCAGCCAGAGCTGCCCTTTCCCAATACGGCCATTTATTTCAGAAGACAATTCCTCAATCTCTACGAGAAGTTCGAATTGTGTTCTTCTGGTACTTCACCATCACATCATTCCACATTGCAAGGATGGAATTTTTGAAAATGACCTATTGAAGTGATAAAGTAGTTAAATAAATTTCTTGTGCCTTACGAGGTTGTTCGGTGGAACTTTTATTAATGGCCTAACGTTTCGACTGAATCGTCGTCTTCAGAGGCCGTCGGTTCCACCCTTCGAGCGGAAAGGTCCGCTGCCACACAGAGCGCTGGTCAGTTGAAACTAACCTCTGAAGACGACGATTCAGTCGAAACGTTAGGCCATAATAAAAGTTCCACCGAACAACCTCGTAAGGCACAAAAAATTTAATAAAGATACAATCTCTAAAAAGAGTTAGGCCTGAGACCTAATGTCTACGATTAGAATCTATCACACCTTATCAACTTTTATCACCGGTTATCTTTGTTCCTGCTTTAGCCGTCATACTCCTTGTTAAACACGATTAGGTCGCTGATAATCTACTTCTGAGCAGTGATCACGATGGCGATGGGTGGAGGGGAGGGGGGGGGTGCGATTTTTGTGACGTCATGGGAAGTAAAGTGGTAGAACAGAGCGCTCAGCAGGCTGAGGGCTTGGTTGAGGCAGCTTCTCAACAC